CAGCACGCTGGCTGCCATTGTTGAGATGGCAAAGCCAGCACGCTGGCGACCATCATAGTTGAAGTGGGTAAGCCAGCACGCTGGCTGCCAGTGTCCAGATGGCAAAGCCAGCACGCTGGCTGCCATCATACTTGAAGTAGGTAAGCCAGCACGCTGGCTGCCATTGTCCCCTTACCAGCAGCCCAAATGCTCACGACGATGAGCTGGGCTGTCACCGCTTGGCCGCCGGTGGGGGGTTTGGGAGGCCTTGGCATTGTGGACGACCACTTCTTCAGCGTCAACCAGGATGACCAGAGGCAAATGATTCACACGTTATTGTTCAGTCTGCAGTGCGGCATGTGGTGATGCAATTGTTGAGATGGCAAAGCCAGCACGCTGGCTAGCATCATAGTTGAAGTGGGTAAGCCAGCACGCTGGCTGCCATTGTCCAGATGGCAAAGCCAGCACGCTGGCTGCCATCATAGTTGCAGTGGGTATGAGCCAGCACGCTGGCTACCATCCTAATTGAAGTGGGTAAGCCAGCACGCTGGCTGCCATCATAGTTGAAGTGGGTAAGCCAGCACGCTGGCTGCCATTGTCCCCTTACCAGCAGCCCAAATGCTCACGACGATGAGCTGGGCTGTCGCCGCTTGGCCGCCGGTGGGGGGTTTGGGAGGCCGCATCGCACACAAACACCCACACACTCCCTCAACTTCCACGAACACACACATACGCAGACTCGTTTCCACACGGACATAGACACACGCACAGAAACCCACACACTACCTCAACTCACTCGACTTAACACTTCTCACTACACACTTACCGGATAACTCGCACTCTGATTTCCTACGTGATGAAAAATGCTTTCGGGCCACTCGTCGTCTAGTTGCTTATATACCTCACACACACTGTTTGGGGTCTCTTGCCGGGATAATTTCGAGTAGGTTTTGGACAAAATGTCCCCAGTTTGTGCTGATGTTGTACGCTGCATGCAGGCTACTCCTGAGGCTTTGCAAGCAGTCTCGGACGAGGACACACAAATGCAGAAACTTCAGACGAGTCCATCGCAGCGATACGTGCATTAATGTAGTCCCTTTCTCCAGGTTGCTTTGGGCCATGAAAGTCCGCAAAAGGCTGAGCTGAAGCCAGATGACAGACTCATAAAGGCTGGAAAAGACGCCGTTTGAATCTGAATGACCAAATTTTGCTCCGGCAGACCTGTGGCAGACCCTTTCAAAACGCAAGGCATTCCCGGTTTGACCGTCCAGCTCAGATCAGTTTCCTGCACTTTCAACACACGTCAAACAAGGGCTACACTTTTGGGGGATTCCTCGTTCTGGATAGAAACCGGTGCTGCACGTCGGAGGTGAAAGGTCTTGACAAGCAGCAGCTTTGCATCGACTTGTTGATGGTAGGCACAAGACCTAGATGCTCAACTTTTGTATATTGATAATTCTTGCAAAATTGGAGAAGATTGATTGCCATTATTTATAATATATAAACAAGTTGTATATGTGTTGTTTTGGTTGCAACAGCAGATTGGTTTTTTACAAAGGCTGCGTCCAGTCCTATGTGGACTTCTTCTACATTACGCACCGAAAAGCGGCTCCTAAAGAAGGAGCACCGGAAGATGAGGCTCGGTGTTGGTTCAAAAGACAGCAAGTAGGAAATTGAGCAACCTGAGCAACAGTGGAAAAGCAAACAGTGGAAAATCAAAGCAAACTGAGTTTAAGCAGTCCCCTCCAACCCGTGTTTGTCATAGTGATGAGAGATAAGTTGGCTTTCGGCACGAGCACGGAGGCTTTTGGTGCGTCTTGTTTCCCACATTCATGTCCCAGTCCAACAGAACAATCATACGGTAACACACTAATGTGTTTGTTAGTTCTCACTGATGACACAAGGTTGATGTTCTCACCCATAATAAGTGAACATCATCAACCTTGCCACACTGCGTCAGTCTGCTCCACCACACGACACTACCCTTCTTCCACTCGGTTTACTCAGTCTAACATGTACGCATCTCCCAGCTGGAGACCTGTCATCACACTTCCAAGGATTCTAATTGGGCCGTCGGTGTGTTGTTCACTGTTCACAGAACTTTGGCATGCATTGCGGTGTGGTTTTGCTAGGGCATGCTGGCCATGCCCATCCCATTATCAAGCTGCGTCAAGCTCGCTTTTGAGACTTCAGTATCACCCGCAGAAAGGCATGAGCACATCTACAATGTATGCAGCACATGCGAGATGAATCCTGCAGCTGATTCGGCGTTAGTTGCATAAGACTTTTGGTTCAACGGGTCGAAAGGATCCAGGTCACAGGTGAAATTGATGCTTCTCTGATTTTGTTGCGGGAAGCTACTCCAACTCGGTCAAAGAGCCACCGGCGGGGCAAAGTGGCTTGCCGAAACCTTGCGTTCATAGCCTTGTGTTGGGTGTCATGTAAAGGCTGTAGGCAATCCCGTACTGTAGGCAATCCGTGGAGAACTTGTAGTCAAAGGGTAGGTAGGCGTTGGCATAGGTGCACCTGATTGTTGACTTGTTAAGTTATTGCAAACCGGTTGTTTGCACAAAGCCACATTGAATATGGTGTGCAAGTCACAACGTGTACTATAACCCCACGCGAGATCTCAACAAAATCCTTTGCATCCGAAAGGTGAAAGACGTGGTCATACCTGAGGAGACCTTGATTTTCTTGAAGGCACGTCCGCACCCTTTGATCGCATGTTGGAGAGGTATTATATATAAATATAGTTAGGTTGGAAGTTGGAACGAAACTGTATGAATTGACACAATCAGCCCTTCGTGCTGCCGAGCTTCCAATTCTACCAAGTTGGGCAGTTAAGCGGAGAGGAGACGCTGGAACAAGCAGAGTCTGCAAGACGACTACGGAGTTACCTGCAATGTTGCTTGGAATACTGCATGCGTTGCAGCGATTTGATGATTGAAATGATTGAAGGGTTAAGCGTGTTCGCAAGAAGGAACCATGGGAGTCAACGAGTATGCTGCTTTACAAACGGATGCATAGACATAAGAAGAAAATTGCAGTGGCAAAGAAACAAGCCCCCTCAACTCACTCGAACTCAACTTGCTCTCGTCATTCAACTCTCCTCTCTTTCAGGTTATGAAAGCTACAACTCCTTGGCCGAATTTTTTGAGAAGGTGCCAGACCTGAAGAGTGCCATGCCTCTTGGCGCAAAGGCTTGTACCAAGTACATACAAGTGCACTGTACCTTTGTTTTGGTGTATCTAAACAGTACGATATGTCATATTTTTGCTATCCTTTGAGGTATTTCTACCAAAGATGTGCGGACGTGGCTGCGGAGGCAACCGAACCGGGCAAAAAGTGAGGTGTTTGCTTTTCCTGTGCAAAGGATTACAAAGGATAATATTTGCACAGCAATTACGTGGGTCTACATAAAGCCAGAAATCGGACAGGCTATCAGTTTGGGTTGCTTTTAAGAGTTTGTTGGCGTCGCTGGCAAGGTTGATGCGTGGGAGAGCATTGCAAAGGCAAATCTCAATCTTGGCAGTTGCGAGGACTTGCTCAATTCAGCCCATCATGTTGGCGCCACAAGTTGCTATCATGCTTCACGGTTCATTTCTTGCAAAATGCAGGAACAGGGAGGAAACTGGCAAAGTGCTATGCAATATCATGAAAAAGCATTGGAGAATCTGGACTCAATTTGCAAAGGTCATCAAAGAAAGATCACGTCGGGTCACCCGACCCAAATACACCCGAATACTATTATATTGTCTTATCTTATTATACATAGTTCCTTATCTTCGGAACTTCGGTCAGACCTACGGTCTGGGACAAGGTTGTCCAATGCAATTTTGGCTCAATCTCTTGAGCCTTTGAGTTCTTGTTTTTCTTGTGACCGCTTGGTTGTCCTTTCGAAGGGCCTGGGGTCAAGATGTCGTAACGCGGTCAAGGAGGATACCGAGGTGGTCAGTGACCAAAGTGGACGAGGACAAGGCTCGGCGTCGTTCAGCGCGCCGGGGACTAGCGCCACTCAATCCTTTTGAAGTCACGCGCCCCAAGCTTTTGACCTGGCTGGAGTGCACTGATGAAGATCACCGTGACAACTCCATGACCATGGTCGACGATCCTGACCAATCCAGTCATGGTTGGCCAAGGGGACTGTCCAACGCTGCCAGCTCCAATCAATGTGCTGACCCTGGACGGTATCAAAGCAGTCTTGGTGGTGCTGAACGATGCCGAGACAGAGGCCACAAATGCCGGATGGGGCCGCCTTTTGCGCTGCTACGGCGCACCCGGCCTTTTCAGCCTTTTCGCATAACGTATTTCGTACACCGATGTCAAGGTGTACAATGGGAACGAGATCCTTTCCCATTCCAAGGATACTGGGCCGACACAGAGACGACTCCAACTGCAGCTTGTGATGGGGTGCTGCCATTGGCATGAGAGGCCAACAAAGGGATGCTAAAGCTTTCAGCTGCGTTTGCCTCATGGGCTGGAGGGTCACTGTCTTTTCGTTCAGGTGCGATGGCAGGACTTATTCAGTGGGGCCAGGTGGAGGAGCACTTGTTAGTGGGGACCATGCCCTCTCCAGGTTCGAGTTGAGGGTCTGCAGCCGCTCTGAGCCGTGGGCAACGATACAAGGAGTTGGGTTCCGTACACCACTTTTATTTCAAGTGTGTTTGCACTTCGGTTCCCAGTACGTGGCCCATTGTGTCACGCACATCTCCACGCCTCTGCTCCAGGCCATCAATGTTTGCCAATCGGGGGCAGGGGTGGAAGGGCCAGAGCATACTGCAGCTCGCTCAAGTCAACTGGCAGCAGTTCGCCCGGCATGGTGGGAGGACGCCGTGGCCAACTCGGCTGCTGAGGTGGGTTCGATCATTGACGTCATCGGTGACCTGTGGCGGGCAAATTCCACATCGCTTGCGCGTCAAGCTCTGGGCTGTTTGTTCTGGAAGTTGTCGACGGGCGCCGGCCGAGATGCAACATGAGGGCACTGAGGGCGCGAGGCAGGTGGTTCAGTGGACTTCGATTTCCGTGGAGCTCTGGCGCTGGGCTCTGAGCAAGGCAGCAGTGCGGTCAACAATGGGCATGAGCCAGAGGATGAGCGTGATCAGGCGACACAGCTGCGCAAGCCGTTCATCTGTGGTTGGGGCGCCAAGTTCGTCGAAAGAAGTTGCAGCAAGAAGTTTCAACGACCCTCAGCAGTGGAGTCCTCAGTCCTGGTCAAACTGGCAAAGTCAAACAAAAGCCAGCTTTGTTTTTGATTCTTGCAGCTGCTAAAGGAATGGCAGGGCGTTCCTTGGAGAGCTATCAGAAGGACACTGTTCCCAAGCTGCCATGACTTCCCTCCACAGAGCCCTTCATTGCTCAACGCGTCGTTCATCGGCAAAGGCCCCGGCGGATCACCAAATCTGAAGCGAAAACTGCCAGACGCGGTCATTCCTACTGACGGCAATTTGCTTGAGGGCTGTTAGACAGGTTGCGGTTGCAGTTCCCTTGCTGCACTCACTAAGGTAAAAAACCATCCAGTTCGGGCCGCGCAAGTTTAGCACAGAGTTGATTGCCTTGGAAATCTCAGATCGCGACGCTGCGGTCGTTGTTGCTCGTGAGACTTTTCGCGGGGATCAGAATCAGTGACCAGTGGATCTTGATGTTTGTGGGTTCAGAACCGGTGCGAAGTGCTGTGGTGAACCGTTGGAGCCTTGAGCCCTCCTCTCTGCTCAGAGTTTTTACATAAAATTGATTGGAAGGAAAAGCATAGACGGGCTCGCGCCCGCAGTCAGTTCCTTTCACGTTCACGAACGCGGATCTCTCTGCTCAGAGCACGGGATGAAACGGGCTATATATACATATACGCGCGTAAACATATACGTAGTAGTTGACGTAACCTATACTATATGTATACAAGTCCAATATCACAGTTTGTTGTCAGTGTCCATTGGTTTTGCCGATCACTTTCCGAGTTGGACTTTTTTGGGGGTTGGGCTTTGACGTGGAGCCTTAGGATTGCAACTTCCGCAGACTCCCTGCCTTTGCAGATCAAAGCAGCCAGTCGCCTCACCACAGTATGCCAAGTTTTGGCAGAGCAGTGCGAAAAGGACAGGGCACGCGCGCGGGCGGCACGCTGTCGAAAATCGTTGCTTTCAGGAACTTAATGTAATGACCTCGTGTAGCAAGACAAGTTCCAAGCACACTACCCGCCGGGTTCATTACCCGCCCACGACTTGGCTGATATCATGATCATGCGTTTGCGCGCAGCGACAAGCGATTCTTATCAATGAAAACGGGATGACGAAACCAGGTTGTCGTTTCTTGTGCGGCTGTTTGCGGTTTTGTTTTGGCAAAGTCGACCGCGTGATATTGATAAGTGGAAGTTCCACCCCGTACAGTTTGCACATTCGGAAGTGTTTCTTTCCTTATGTCTTCTCATGAGGCTTCGGTAGTCTTCAGGAACGATACTATTTTGGGGGGTTGTGTTTTATCAAAAATATCAAGGGCATGGAAAGGATTAAAGGACACATAAACACCATCATAGTAATCTAAACAAATGGTGCTTTCGTCCAATTTTAATAAGTGGCCTTTTAATGTGTTAGAACTGTCTTGAAAAAAGATCACGAAAGCCAGCCGGTAGGCTGGGCTTGAGGTTGCTGGAGCGAACGAAGTGAGTAAAGGGGGTGTGGGGGTGGTGGTTGCGTGGTAGCTACCAGAGCCTGGTGGAGGAGAGCGACAAAAAGAGGCGGGCCATTTGGTAGTGAAAAATGGCGCCAGGAGGCCATGGAAAGAGAACAGGTTGTAGTTGCGCCTAAGCTTAGCGTTGCTGTCGGATTGAAGAGGACACTCCCTACGCGGTAGGAGTTGACGTGAATTGGGGTTCCGCCTCCAACGCTTGCTCGCCATCTCTTGCAGGCCCTGAACAGATGGCATCACGCACGCCATGTGGGGTGCCCTTTTCAGTCCAGACACTAGACCTTGCTACGGATAAAAAAGGGCACCCCTAAGCTACGCAGAACCTTCTGTCTCCAACGCTTGCCCGCTGCAATCTCTTCTCTCTCCTGCCCCCAACCCCACCACATACTGTGTGGAGTGCCCTCTTCAGTCCGGTTCTCTCGCAAGCCCTCAACAGATGGCATCATGCACCCCATGTGGGGTGCCCTTTGCAGTCCAGCAACTAGACCTTGTTGCGAAAAAAAAAGGGCTATTCAGGACCTTCCGCCCCCCAATCCACGTGAACTCCCACCACATAGCGAGCGGCCTCTTCAGTTCGGTTCTCTCGCAGGCCCTCAACACATCAGGCACCCCAATGTGACACTCCTGATTCAAGCAGCACTCTGAGACGTGGACATGGACCGTCGCAGCTTCCTTGCTGTACCGTCACCGCCAGTTGAAGTGGCCAGCTGTTGCTGGAAATCGTAGCACTTACTCCAAACTACATTCCAAGCTTAAATGAGAACACGGGGATGTCCAATCACGAAAGCTAGCCGTCAACTCACTTAAAACACAGACCAACACACCATACCCATCAGACTACAAGGGAAACCTCTGTATTCTACTCTGTCTTTCAGCCATATCCATTTCACCACTTCCAGCTCCTCCTTGTCCACTCTACCGATATAAGTAAGTATACATATATATATGTCCTCAGGAAAGCGTACCGGTAGCCTCGCCCACGACCATCTCTACTTACCTCCTCTCGCGTACCTGCGACGCCAACTTCACCCATAATGTTGGCCTATCACTTCATCTTACACACTCCAGTCGCTCCAATATCAACCTCACCCCTTCCGGCTGCTCTTTGTCCACTCTACCTATGCACACACACACACATATATATATATATGTATGTATCTCTCTGACTCGCAACACGCCGCCGGCAAGCGCCTCACTTCCTGAGGGGTGCCCTTTCATCTCCAACTCCTCCCGGAACCAGAGCGAGAAAGGGCGCCCCCCCAGACCCTGTGTCTTCTACTTTCCATTTCTACCCCTTATCGGTGTGGCTGCGATGTCAACGTCGCCCCATAACATTACTCTTTGCCCGATGTTACCCGATCACTTCCTCTTGCACGCCAAGTCTTTGCCCGGGCCTACCCTGAGAACACCCCCCATGCCAGAGGCTGGCTTTCGTCCCCTCCCTTCTCAGGCACGAATATTAATATGTGGCCATCAGATGTTTAATCTTTCTCGGCTCCAGCGCTTGGAAAGATCTGATGGCATTATCGATTTCTCTTTTTCTAGGTTTTTCTACGGGGCAGGAACTAAAGAGGCGCAAGGGAAGGGCCCCCGGTTCCAAAAATTGATATCTCTTATAATTTTTGGAGGTGGTTCTATAGGATTATTTTTTCATGGTTCCAATTGTTAATTTCTAATAGATTGCAAGGCTACCGACTACTCCATTTAATATCTTTCCTTTGGGCAGCAATAAAAATATTAAAAGCTGCCACGAATCACTAAAATTGCATTTCTTATTATTGGTCGTATGGGTATATCCCTTGAGCCTTGGGGAATAGATGACTGTCACTCTGCGTGGTGGGGGCGTTCTGTCTGGCATCTATTCTGATTTTTGTTCCTGGCATTTAGCATTCTTGCTTCGCATTCTATCTGCTATCTTTTCTGACATTCATCTTCTGACATTCTTGCTCTGGCCTGTCTGGCATCTATTTTGACATTCTATTTGACATGCGTTCAGCCTTTTAGCTTGGGGTTCTATCTGGCGTGTATTCTGACATGCTACCGACCGAGAACTGCGTTTTAGGCCCGTGGTTGCCCAGGCGGGCTGGAGCTCCTGCCTGTATACCGACATTTATGTTCTGCCATCGCATTTGCCACTTGTTCTGACACAGGTTCGGGCAAGTTTCTGGCATATGGTTTGGAAGTCTATTTGTCACTTGTTTCGACGTTCTATTTGACGTTCTATTTGGCATCTTGCCAGTCTTGCTAATCTGGACTCTGTTCCAACATGTTTTCTAGGATGCTGCCTGGCGCCTATTCTTACACCCTTGCGGCCATTCTATTTCAGGTTTTGGTTGACATTCTTTCTGTAACGCTATTCTGGCGTACGCATGCCAAGTTCAGCTAGACCTCGTTCTGACGTTTGGGTCCGTTGGTGCCCGCAGCGACGACGAGCTGGAGGAGTATATAGGCGGTCGAGGAACAGGAGGAGGAGGAGGATTAAGGAGAATAAGGAGAAGCGAGAAGGAGAAGGAGAAGAGGATCCGTTTTTTGGCGAATCCAGAGACAAGCGGGCAAAAACAGGCTAATGTCCACCTCTGAATATGAACCTCCCCCTCCCTCTTGATCAAGCGCAGGCCCTAAATAGTGTAAAATCCATAATAAAAGTACCATGGTTGGCGATAGAGTGGTTCTAACTATCGACGAAGACGCATGAAGACGTATGAAGACGCGTGAAGAGGTACGAAGACGCATGAAGACGCATGGAGGCGCATGAGGGTGTATACGCCCACAGACTCAGACCTCCCCATAATATTGACAAAACCCATTGGTCGGGCGTCTCTTCATTCTATAACCATCCGCCCATTTATTGTGTTGCTTCTCTGCTGCACTCCACTGTGCGTGAGAACACTGCTTTACGTCCTTACAAGTAATTACACAGACAACCCCTCATGTCTGAGCTCGACCGAGAGCGCGCGAGCGCAAGCGAAGTTACGAGGAAAACCGGGGAAACATCCATATATGTCAATGGAAGTGCAGGCGCAGGCCACATACTATGTATCGCGTATACTATGCGTGCGACGACTTAACACTTTGGCTCAAGCGCGCTCAGCATAGAAAAGTCTTGCGTGTTGCTTTGCTGGGCATGGGACGCTGAAAGCCACGTGGTCAATCGCTGGGTTCTCAGGATCACTTGCTTTGACAGGAATGGCAAAGAGTCGCGTTTCGGCTGTCATTGAGAGACAACTTTGTCGAGGACGACTGTTATGTCACTGCCCTGAATCATTTTGCGGAGGATGACGCATATGTGAGCCTCACTGCAGTGGAGCGCGACAAGTACATCAACGTCGATACGCCAAAGGTGTACTCCGGGCCCACGTCAAGTGAATCAGAGGTCGTCGGCGGAACCTTCGAAACGGATTCAGAATGGAAGGACTTTCAATTCATCGTGAAGGATCCGGAGCCTGAAGTTGACTTGACAGACTATTGGGCGCGAGGCGACCGAGACCTGAATCGAGTCAATGAATCCACACTCTCATTCCCATATTTATGCGACAAGTGCCGAGCGCGAGACCAAACCAACGAATGGAACGAATCCGGTGACAATGTCAAGTTTTGCGTGAATTGCAATTTCAACTTCTGGTGTAGACTGAATCAGATGTTTACCATTGAGCAAGAGAAGAACTACATTTGGGAATCAGCTCCGAGCCCTGACTGGAACAGAATCCTTCCCGCAGATGATCTGAGAAAGTTTGTGATTAAAGGAGCGCTCCTGTTATCAAAGAGGCCAGTACCTTAGGTCCACGGTACGCTCAACAATACATCGCATCACGGAGGCATCAGGGCACCAGTGGAGATTGCGAACACCTACTGCAAAGAAGAACACGGAGGATTGCTCATAGGTCACCGAGACTATGACCAAACCACCGGAGAGTATGGATTTAGAGCCTATGTGGCAACGCGGCGTACCGCGACTACGCGCAATATCTTCTGACGACAGAGGAGTAACAGGCCATCTTCACACTCGACAGCAAAGACAAAGTAACAAACTCTGAAGCCAACGTGATCTCTTCAAGGAGTGGAAGTGCATTGCTGAACGCAGGCGGGGAATCGTCCTTCATCCTACGCAGCCAGTCGGAGAAACATGAATGGCAACACCAAGAGGAACAAGTCTCCGCGCAGCTATCCGACAACTGAAGAAAAGAATGAAATGGCCGAGATGATGAAGAGGTACCAGAAGCCGATGATCTTCAGTAGGATGAAACCTTTAGAGGCGCCGCCTTTCGAAGGGAAGCCACACAAGACGAAGAGAAGAAAGAAGATGTATCGATGGGGAAAGAACAGGATGTGCACATCTACTACACCGCCTATGACTCCTGAGTTAGATCCTACAGAATACTGGAAGATCGGTGTCACCAACTGCGACATGGACGAATCCTCCACGCTCAGGACCCTATTCGACCAAAGGAAATGAGCCAGGATCTTCATCATGGAAGCAGACACTCGATAACATTACGAGAATGAAGAAAAGGGCAAAAGAGCAGCCAATTTGTCTTTGTTGTGCGTCAGATGAACATTCAATGGAGAATTGCGACAATGAGAGCTTCGCTGAGCAGAAGGGAACCATAGTCGCAGCCTTCGCACACATGGAGGCCGTTCTTCAGAGCAATTTCGCTGATCGCGACATTGAGATCATCCAGAGGACTGAACGAGAGAAGAAGAGAGCAAGAACCTCGAACGATGATGACTTACCAGAAGAGAGACCGCAACTGAGTGGAGAGTCTCCGACTCCTCCGGCTTCAAAGCAATCTCAATCGAAATCGTCAAAAGGAACGAAAGAAGAGTACGTCGAATACATGAAACGTTCACGTGGCAACGCTACGATCTGCACAAGATTCAATGAACCGGTGGATCTGCGTTCAATTGCTGATGAACAGGAAGGAGGCGCTTTCAATCTCTCCAACCGCGATGTGGGTATATCTGGGCCAGAGCTCAGTCAGCTGCCACCAAAATGCCAAAGGTCTCAGAGTTACCCACGTCAAGAACGCAAGGCTGCATACCAACAGATCAGGCCAGAATGCGACAGAGGCAACATTGAAGTCATCTCACAATGTGGTACCACCTATTGTTTCAAGAGCTGGAACGGAGAGAAGGGGGCAACTAGATCAGGATTTCTGAGACCACCTAGCTTTGATCCAAACGACTTCATCAGGAAGAATTCAGATGACTACCTCACGGTCCATGCAATCAGCAGGAGAGTCAATAGGGTTCTGAGGCAGGAAAGCAAGAGTGATCGGATCTTCCGGACGAGAACATGAAGTCCTTTGATGCAATGTGGGAGGATGGGTGAACATCCAAGATGTGCTTTTGTATGGCCATATCTTCAACGACAATAGCAATCGCCAGATGCGAGAAGCAAGGAAGGGAGGATATCTGACAGACATGTTGATGGACCGGTACTACCGTTGCTGTCAAGCCATGTGGTATTCGAGGAAACTCCAGAATCGGGTCAGATTCCAAATCGCCGCCGTCCGCATTTCTCCTGGCGATGTTATGAAGGCAGAGCAAAGGGACTATTGGAAGAGAAACTTCATTGATGAGATCATGGCTCAAACAGCAGCAAGCAAGAATGATCCTCAGGGTGACATCCACACCCCTTCATTCGATGAGGATGAGGTAGACTATGACAGAGACTTGTTGGCACCAGTGATCGAAGAGGAGATCGACCAGATGGAGGCCATTCGCAAGAGTGCTGTTGAACATCCATTGTCCACTAAAATAGGGCGATCAAGGACGTTGAAGTCGAGCCCACAGAACAGGAACTCAAACAAGGACGAGCTGACGATAAATGATATGATCCAGATGAACCCAGATCTTTGGACCCCGACATCGGCCTTCCCAACGACGAGTGACCCAAGCGACAAGTGGCGCAGATTTCCAGAACCAGTTCCTTTCGGCTTGCAAGAAGAATCAGGATGTCAGGACGCAGGCAAAGGCTCCTCGGGCTTGAAGGACCGATATGTCATGAGGTGCGTCGCCTATGTACAAGTCATATAACCTGTTGGGTATCGCTGACTTCAAGAAGCTCTAGGGCGAAAAGACTTGATGTAATGTCCGACTTCGACTTCACCGTGTGACTTTCAACGGATTGGACAACAATGACATGCCCAAGGACCCCACAATCGAGCAAACGCGATCATTCGCGTAGAAGCGCAACATCACGTCCAGTGAGGCATGGCGTCGTTTCCGTGGAGAGCTCACTTTGGGTAGTTTTGCTTTGCAAGCAATTGCTTTTGGCTATACTCCAGGTTCCTTCAAAGCTGAAATCAACGAGATCGACATGCCTCTGGGCACCGGCCCTGAGCAAGTCAAGGCAACGAAAAGGGCAAAATCAAGCATAACGTAACGTCAAGAATGGTTCGAAAACGCGTGAACGCCATCTACAAAGTCACTTCATATTCCTACTTCAGGGACGACTTGACCGATGATGTGTCTTGCAAATGCTTTGATCCTGTTGACATATTGTATGAGAGACCCAAGAACAAATGGGGTAGGCCATTTCTATCGGTATTGGACCTCAGCCAATGGCGCAGAATGTCTTGTTGGATATGACCCGACATACCGATGGGCGAGCCTTCAAACGTTGGAACAGCATGCTGGAATTGGATCAAGTTAAAAGACTCATGGATAAGTATGACTGCGGAGCAAATGTTTCCAAAACGCCGACTACGAGGAAAACGCCACAGCCGAGTGTTGCGCCAGGCAAGAAAGGTGGTAAGAGTTCCAAAAGCTCCAAAGGTTCCCAACCTACTTAAAATTGGCAGCGAATCAACTGGAACTCTCGAAGTTGGCATAGTTTTGATTCAACATTCCAAGATGAGCAATGGAATAATCCGGCCATCAGAGAAGGCGCCCTATATTGAGATGATTACCGCAATTGGGGCGAAGAAGAGGAAGGCTACGAGGAAGATACCAGACGCTAAGACAAGTTCAACTTACCAAGTATGAACCTCTGTCAGTCGTGAGAGTATCTATGCCACCAACCTGGGCATATTTTATAGTTGAGCGAGTCACAAAGACTCGGACTATCTCATGACGAAGATCTACTGAGAGTTTTCTGAGCGTTGCTAATTCGACTATCGTTTTTACAATTCATTTGCACAGCCATTAGGTCTACTCACGCATTTATATGTAAAAGCCCGCTTAGTTCCGCTAGTGTTGGGTAGTAGAGGGTCCATTTTTGGCTTCGCGGCATCAATTCGACGCCTACTGCACAGTACACTTACCCTTGAACTTATTTCTGTGTATCCGAAGCTGACAGCATAGGATACATGGGAGGTGTCAATGGAAGTGCAGCCAGAGGCCACATAGTGTGTATAGCATGTATACTATGCGTGTGACGACTTAACACTTTGGCTCAAGTGCGCTCAGCATAGAAAAGTATTGCGCGTTGCTTTGCTGTGCGTGGGACGCTGAATAGTTTTGTTAACTGTCGGGTTACAAGGTGAATATCCACACGCAATATACATATCCCCACCAAAACATACGTGCTAGGTTACCGAGAGGAAACTGTTCACAAATTGAAGGTGACCACTGCGTCCTTGCACCTCTCACCGTACAAAATAACTGCAACGCAAAGGGGATGCCAATCCCAATCGCTTCCTCTTCTTCCCACTTCCAAAAGACCAAAAAAGAACAGAAGGAACCTTTTAGTGTTCTGTTACGTTGTAAAAAACAGAATGACAGACAACACTGCCACAACTCATTCATATTTTTTCGTTTGGGTTGCGTGAGATTGTCTGTTGTGTAGCGTGCAGTGGGTGAGCCAAAGCTCAAAACCCAAGAACATTAGAAAACCATGGTGCAGCCATGAACATCTGCAGTGGACACAAAGGCGGTATGGTGTGCAACAAAACAGTATCCTGCGCAGCGTGGGTACGCAAGCCTTCTAACAGCAATATCAATAAAAGAAGCTGGACGCTGCCAAACAACAAAACGCGCCCCAAAGGGCAGCAATCGATCCTCTAGGTGGACACCCGATCCAAACTGTCTCCTCACGCGTCAGCGCGCATCGTCGCGCGGCGTCACGCATCGTCAGCGATAATCGGACACCTTCACAAACCTACTCTGAAAAATACAAGAACAATTTTGATTTGAACTTGACGTAAAAGGAAAACGAAAGGAACGGAAATGAAAAAAGAAAGAACAGAAAATGAACATGAAAGGAAGTGAAAAGGTTTGAAAGGAAAACGCAGAAGCCAATCAGAAATCCAGAAGGGTTTGAAACAAAGAGTTTTGACAGTAAACAACCATGGCCATCAATAAAGCTAAAGGTTTTCAACCAAAAGGAAATCTAGAGGAATCGTAAAGGAAGCCAGCAAACGCCCCAGCCAGCGTGTGCTTAGTATTGTTTAAGGTCTGGAGAATTTGAAGGTTTGTGATGCTTGCGAGGGGTAGTCTTTGTGGGTCGATTTCAGGTTGCAAATGGCAATGCCCAAATTTGCTTATTCTAAAAAGAGGCAGCCAAATTTGAAACAATCAGGTTGACTGTAAACAACAAGGTTTTGAAATCACCTGAAAGCTCAGAATCAGCTTGGATGAATTAAGGTTTGGACACAGCTGAAAATCAGGGTCCACCAAAATTTTACTATAATTTGGTGGCCATGTATATTTTGCGTTTGAAAAAGTAGTATTATTCACGGGCCATTTGTAACTCAGAAGTCAACATTATCATCTGTCTCTTCACCTCCTTCTAGCACTCGCCCGATTGAAAAGATTTGATGATTTGATGATGGAGTCCTGCACTGGCTTTCAAATTTGCTTGGGTCATGCGGGAGTTTCAAGGCTGTTTCTAGGCCTGCCCTGTTGGCAGTCGTTCTGGTGCACTGTTAAGCCTTCGCGGGAATCTGTAGCTTGCGAGGACGGCCACGATGCCGAAGCAGTACAGCTCTACGAACGTTGCCTGACCAGTGCGCAGCTCTCCAAAGACGCTGCCTTGGAGGGCTCTGCATGCCACAAGCCGCTCTTCCGCACGAAGATGCGCTGTTCCTGCCCATTTTCAAGCCAAGCATTTGCAGGGAAGAAAATTCCCTTGCGGGGTTCCTTGACAGTGGCACAGGCTGGGCTTGTCAAAGCACAAGACGGGACATTACGAGTTTCTTGGCTGCATGATGACCATACCATGACCACGCCCACTTTTCTTGCTTTATCTAAAGAATAGAAACAAGGGTGTTGTTGTTTCACGCAGGACGCCTTTCTGAGCAAACCATTAACTTACTGTTGGAATTTGCGCCAATTCTTGACAGAAATTGTTGTCGAATCGGTACTCTTGCTTATCAGGGTTACAAGCAGTTCCCGGGCAAGCCGGCGGCGGAAGTTTCCTATAAGAACAAATTGACCTATAGGAGTGTTCCGGTTCTCTCAAACACGCGCGTCCCCCAGTCAAACGCACGCGCTCCGGACTTCAACCTCCAGTACAAACTTACCTGTTGACAAAACAATCAACTGTAACCAGTGTTGGGTTATGATGAGTGGTGTATGATGAGTGATGTATGATGAGTCTTGTATGATGAGGGGTGTATGACGAGTGGTGTACGATGAGTGGTGTATGTTGAGTGGTGTATGATGAGTGGGCAGCGAGAGATGACTCAGCAACCACAGATGACTCAGCAGCGAGAGACGACTCAGTCGCGAGAGATGACTCAGCAGCGACAGATGACTCAGTCGCGAGAGATGACTCAGCAGCGGGAAATGACTCAGCAGCGAGAGATGACTCAGCAGTGAGAGATGACTCAGCAGGGAGAGATGACTCAGGAGCGAGAGATGACTCAGCAGCGAGAGATAACTCAGCAGTGAGGCAGCGAGAGATGACTCAGCAGCGAGAGATGACTCAGTCGTGAGAGATGACTCAGCAGCGAGAGATGACTCAGTCGCAAGAGATGACTCCTCCGCGTACTAAAGTTGCACTGCAAAATGGCCAGTTCTCAGCTTCCAGCTCCCCAGATACTCCGCGTACTAAAGTTGTACTACAAAGTGGCCAGTTCTCAGCTTCTAGCTACGCAGGTTGCTCCGCGTACTACAGTTGTACTACAAAGTCGCCAGGTCTCAGCCTCCAGCTCCCCAGTCACTCCGCGTACTAAAGTTGTACTACAAAGTCGCCAGTTCTCAGCGTCCAGCTCCACAGGTTTCTCCGCGTACTAAAGTTGTACTACAACGTCGCCAGTTCTCAGCTTTCAGCTCTACAGATTGCTCCGCGCACTAAAGTTGCACTAGAAAGTCGCCAGTTCTCAGCTTCCAGCTCTACAGATTGCTCCGCGTAC